ATAAGAATTGCAGACTCGGTTTGATTGAGTCTGTACATGAGGGATAATGAATAAGTGCAACATCCCTCACGCCCCCTAGCACCGGCTTGAGCGGTACTCAATTCTCAACATTTAATAGTGCTGGCATCAATGATCCCGAAGGACCAGAAAAATATAACAACACTGAAGTGAAGTACGTGAACCTCCATGCCAAATATGAAGACTGTGGGTCAAAGGAATCTTAAGTTATAGGGCGGACAAGCTTTTTGAAGTCAATGCCCCTGTGACCTTGACCTTTGACCTGGTGACCTCAAAATCAATAGGGGTCATCTACTAATCATCACTAACCTCCATGCCAAATATGAAGACTAAGGGTCAAAAGAATCTTAAGTTATTGGGTGGACAAGAAAAAAACCGACATACAGCCGGACGGCCGGACGGACAAGCTGATTCCAGTATACCCCCCTTACAACTTTGTTGTGCGGGGGTATAACATGATTTTTTTTAATCTTTCCTTTAAAAAAAAGTATTGGTCTGAGAGAAAATTGTCCGTAACTGTAGACTGGGTATGAAAATATTGAGTACAAAACTGCAGGTGAAAAACATGTTTTTTTGTTCCAACATATGGGTCATCTACTAATTATGACTAATCTCCATGCCAAATATGAAGACTGTGTGTCAAAGGAATCTTAAGTTATTTGCGGACAAGCTTTTTGAAGTCAAGGCCCCTGTGACCTTGACCTTTGACCTGGTGACCTCAAAGTCAATAGGGGTCATCTACTAATCATAATAACATCAATGCCAAATATGAAGACTATGGGTCAAAGGAAACTTAAGTTATTGGGCGGACAAGCTTTTTGAAGTCAAGGCCCCTGTGACCTTGACCTTTGACCTGGTGACCTCAAAATCAATAGGGGTCATCTACTAATCATGACTAACCTCCATGCAAAATATGACGACTGTAGGTCAAAGGAATCTTAAATTATTGGGCGGACAAGCTTTTTGAAGTCAAGGCCCCTGTGACCTTGACCTTTGACCTGGTGACCTCAAAATCAATAGGGGTCATTTACTAATCATGACTAACCTCCATGCCAAATATGACGAATGTAGGTCAAAGAAATCTTAAGTTATTGAGGGACAAGCTTTTTGAAGTCAAGGCCCCTGTGACCTTGACCTTTAACCTGGTGACCTCAAAATCAATAGGAGTCATCTACTAATCATGACTAACCTACATGCCAAATATGAAGACTGTAGGTCAAAGGAATCTTAAGTTATTGGGCGGACAAGCTTTTTGAAGTCAAGGCCCCTGTGACCTTGACCTTTGACCTAGTGACCTCAAAATCAATAGGGGTCATCTACTAATCATCACTAACCTCCATGCCAAATATGAAGACTAAGGGTCAAAGGAATCTTAAGTTATTGGGTGGACAAGAAAAAAACCGACATACAGCCGGACGGCCGGACGGACAAGCTGATTCCAGTATACCCCCCTTACAACTTTGTTGTGCGGGGATATAACATGATTTTTTTTAATCTTTCCTTTAAAAAAAAGGTATTGGTCTGAGAGAAAATTGTCCGTAACTGTAGACTGGGTATGAAAATATTGAGTACAAAACTGCAGGTGAAAAACATGTTTTTTTGTTCCAACAACAAAAGTGAAAGAAATTAAAATTTATTTTTGGTTATATTGTGGGATAAGCATGTCAATAGATACCTAAACAAACTTAATACTATGTTAACTCCTACGATGATAAGCTGGCACAAATTTTATCAATAATTTCACAGGTTGATCTATGGGAGTTACGTCCGTTTTGTATTTCCTGCTACTTTCGTTTTTCATGCGTTGTTGACAACAGAATTTTTAGTTTCAAAGCAATAGTATGGAAATATATTAATTTTTATGCTCAAAACATCCTCTTTCTAAATATCAATTGTTTACACTTCTATTCTTTCATGCTTAAATTCTGACATACAAGCGTATTTTCATTTTGTTGTGCGTAACTTGACGCACAAATTGTGAAAGTGATGCGTATTTTAGATTTTCTATGCGTATTTTACGCTGATACATACGCTATCTGGAGCTCTGGTTATTGATCTGATACCGTTTTTATCTACAAGGTCAATGTGACCTTGAACTTTGACCCCAAAATCAATAGGGGTCATCTACTGGTCATGAACAATCATCATACAAAGTTTGAAGTTCCTAGGTCTAAGCGTTCTTTAGTGATCACTCGGAAACCATTTGGTCTACGGACCGACCGATAGACAAATGCAAAGCAATATTGTGAAATCATTTGTATTCGTGGGCATGAAATTTCATGGTTTTATCAAAACTGGCATTTTCGTTGGTTCTTAAATTTGTGGATTTTCATTTTCTTGTGAAACAAGAGCTGTCGGTAGGACAGCAACGCTCGACTATTCTTAGTGCTTGATAGTAAAATAAAATGCTTGATACAGTTACCCCCTCCTGTTTACAGGTTTGGGTAATGATGGTGAACAAGTGTGCAAAGTTTCAAAGCCATATGTCAATGGACTTTGAAAATATTTGAGGTATTACAAAAACTTTAAATTAACATAAATTCTAAGTAGAAAAAGGGGCATAATTCTGTCAAAATGCTTGATACAGTTACCTCCTCCTGTCTACAGGTTGGGGTCATGATGGTGAACAAGTGTGCAAAGTTTCAAAGCCATATGTCAATGGACTTTGAAAATATTTGAGGTATTACAAAAACTTTAACATAAGTGGTTACGCCGACTCGGACGTGGACGTAGACGCCGACGCTCGGGTGACTACAATAGCTCTATTTATTCTTATCGAATAGTCGAGCTAAAAAAGCAATGGAAAGTAATATTTCACTTAATCACCGCGCTGCTTACATACCTGGTGTTATTATATAACACAGCTCTTGTCAATAAATTTAATCCTTGCCTCTGGGAGTAACACATTTACTGCCGATAATTGACAGCAATTAACATGTTTGTGTGACATGATATGTAGCTCCATTAGTTACACGGCCTTTTAATTCGCCAATGTAAACATCGCATAAATTATAGGACATCTGCCACTTTTTAACCAGCGAGTAAAAAATTTACACCCTGAATCGGTCCAAAACTATACACTACGTCACATCGATTGTGTACAATTATATGCATATAGATTAATACGAGTAAGTGGCTCAATACAGGTAGATATGTACGTGTGCATGTAATAAAAAGACGACGGCATCTTTTATCGGCGCTAATTAATGCACTGGGTTCCCATATTTACTCGATTATGTCACGTATTCTGGCTAACACAATCAAGTAGCCTACACCGATCAAGTAGTCCCCCTGATGTTTATATGCGACGAACATTTGTGACAGTAAACTGAAAAGATACACACGATTTTTTTCTTAAATATTGCAAAACTAAACTATTTATGGATTTAATTTGTCACTGGCCTGATTATTAGTATACATTCATACCAGAAAAACCGGCCGGAAAAGCACCAACGCCTGTTGTGATATATGGAACAAAGACATGGTAAGAAGTATTGGATGAGATAAAACTTTGTCGGGTCTTAAATTTGTGGATAGACCTATCCACGAAAACCACGAAAATTAGTGCCCCACAAATAATAATAATTTCACAGTATACCCCCACTTCCTTGGGGGCATAATAATTAATAGAACATCTTACATGATTTTAAAATATGTTTTTAATAACTAACAAGTAATATGTCAGTTGGACCAATATCTTTGCAATCTCAAAACATTTTACAAAAACAGTATCCAATGAACTTTGGTTAAAACATATTTTTATTCAAGGTAATAAATGCATATTGCAGGGATGCCAACAGACAAGTTGAAAAAAAGAGGAAAATTAAACGCAAGGGGTCATGGGGGCCGTGTAGGCCCCCATGCAGGTCCAGGGCAGAGCCCTGGTGGGGGACCAGGGGGCGAAGCCCCCGGAAGCTCCTAGGTTTTCATCCTTTTCAGATGGTCTAAAATGCATTTCCTTTTAGTGCTTTATCAAATATTTTCATTAAATGATATTGTATTACTTTGACTGGCAGTAACAAAGTTAAGGCAGACTTTAATTTCAATGAAATTAATCAGTCTCTATAACAGTAATAATATTACGATTTGACGTGATCCTCGATTGCAACAAACCCTCGACTACCATAATTAATTTGTTTTGAACATAGTCAACACGAAGCTTGTCAAGGAATATTCATTACCAATGCGGACGGTTGTCTCGGTTGATCCGATATTCACATTTACTATGTTCTCTAACCAATACAAAATTAATCTATTTTTAACATTTTTGACACAGTTCATGGTCTTCGAAGCGTTGTTGGAGTTAATTGCTGCCATTATTCATGTAAAAAATATCTTTCTTGCTAATTGGCCGACAATTTGTTTTGCTTTCTTCAACTACAGAAAGACGCTACGATTGGTCGGTATATTTAACGCTAACGTTCATTGGCTAACTATAATAGCGACAATAACTGAGCATACCCGAAAAGCCGTATGGCCTAAATATTTACGGTACGGTCTAAACATTTACAATCGGCGGACAATAGACGGTAGCAAACTCGGCGAAAGAGACCCCCACCCCGCAAATTTAATTTTCTCCTCGGATTTACATCATTCTCAAAAGTGGTTCGGAGACCTCGAAATCAAAGAGAGTAGTTTCAGGAGTATAAAAAACCTAAACTTTAGGAAAATGTCTGACAAATTGTACCCTTGTAGATGGATACACAAAGGAAAATCTATATCCCCACAAAAAGTTGGGGCATAAAAACTCTTAACAATTACATAACCGTAAATCGACCTTCATCATGATTTAAACAAATCAAAAATATGAAATGAACAATGTTTAAATGCTTGAATATTTTCCAAACATAACTTTTGACCACAAAAAAGGTCATACAAGAAATTAGCAAGACTTTGCCATTGTTTCAAATCATCTATGAATCTCAAGTTTTATGTATTTGAAAAACATGCAATACATAGTAATCTATCATAATACATTTTAGGTAAAACATGGCAGTCCCAGGAAAGAAAGCATCAAAACAATTTTCGTCATCAACAACATCCATGGCATCAGATGAAGATCTTCAAGTTTACTGCCAGCCTTGTGACGAGGAAGGAACTAGACTACCTGCCCATGGATACTGTACTGACTGCAAGGAACACCTTTGCAAGACATGCTTTAAAGCACATAAGATAAACAAGTTTACCAAAAAGCACATACTTCTGGATGCAACAAGTATGCCTAAAGTTTTGCAGCAACCCTCAACATTTATTCAAACAGTCCTGTCTGATGATTTGACTATGCCATGTCCTAAACATCCAAAAGAAATGATTAAGTTTTACTGTAATGATCATACAGAATTTCTCTGTTGTGTTTGTGTTACACTTGAACATCAAGCTAATTCCTGCAAAGTCAACAATATACCAGACATTTCTGGTGATATAATAGACAGCAAAGAATACCAAGTTATCTTGAATGCATTAAATACCACTTCTGACAAATTTCAACAGATATTAAAAGATGTCAAGGACATGACACACAAATCATACAGCTCTCTCAAAGATGCATTAGATGACATTAAAAAGTTTCGGCAAGAAATCAACCAAAGACTAGATGAATTTGAGAGACAGGCTGAAGATGCAGTTAAAGTCATAGAACAAGAAAACAACAAACATCTGAAAGCAGTAGAAACAACATGTGAGGAAGTTACCAAATCTCTAAAGATATCATCAGACAAAATCAAACAACTCAACACAACGAAACAAGCTGACAAACTCTTCATTGATTTAAAACTTGCAGAGAAAACAATCAAAGTTATGGAGGGAAAACTACAAAAACTGTCATCATTTGATATCAAAGAGCACAACTTTCAATCGAATGATGTAATATTAAATTTGATTAAAACAGAGAAGTCACTGGGTACATTGACACAGAAAACTTTAAATAAAGAATGTCAACCTGTACAAATAAAGTCTAGACAATCTTCACATGAGGGAGAAATTTGTGTGATGACATCAAAAGATAAAAGAACATGCTGGATAACAGGAATGACTCTGCTGACTCCTGATCTTCTTATCATCACTGACTACTATAACAATGCTGTAAAGATGGTGGATACCAGCAGTAAATCTGTGTCTGATCAACTACAACTAGATGATGGACCATGGGATATCACCACAGTAACCAGTACTGAACTTGCTGTCACACTCCCTAACAAACATACAATACAATTTATATCAATATCATCAAACCAACTTATAATGAAGCATACAGTTATGGTTGGTGGAGACTGTCATGGTTTAAGCTGTTGCCAAGGTAAACTTGTTGTGTCATTCCGTACCCCTACAAAACTTCAGATCCTTGACCTGAATGGCGCAATACAAACAACAATTGATGGAAAAAATATTTTCAAATGTCCACAACATATCACATGTAACAGAAGTTCAATCTATGTATCTGACAGGGACATGGAGACAGTAATAAGATTAAACTGGCAGGGTGATGTGATAGGAAGTTCTAGTGGTATAAGTGATCCTAAGGGAATGTCACTGTCAGATGATGGTACTTTCTTTGTGTGTGATATGAAGAAAAATGTAATAGAAGATATATCAGGAGACTGTTCTACAGGAAAGATTGTGTTGAAGAATCTGGAAAGTCCATATGCTGTATGCTGGTGTGAGAAAACAAAGAGGCTTTATAATAGCTGTTTTGCTTTTGATGCTAAATATGACAACTTCCTTCAAATACATAACCTGTCATAGACTTAAACAGAGACTAAATATTAAACAATGTCAACAGTTCTTAAATTCATCATTCATTCTTTTAAAACTGGTCTAAAAGTGAAAGCATAATGAAAGACTTAGCAAGATACTTGTGTCTCATTTTGGCACATGAAGAGTAACAAGATTAAACTGGCAAGTTGAAGTGATTAGTAGTTATAGTGGTATAAGTTTCCCTACAGGAATGTCACTGTCAGATGATGGTACTGTCTTTGTGTGTGATAATGGGAGAAATGTTATAGAAGAGATATCAGGAGACTGTATTACAGGAAAGTTGGTGCTGCAGGCTCAGAAGACACCAAGGGCTGCATGTTGGTGTGGAGAAACAAAGAAACTGTATTACAGCTATGATTTCAAAGATGGAAATTTTCTACAGATCTATAAACTGTAAAAGTCTTGAACAAAACAATTTGAACAGTTCTTAATGGTCAAAAAAAATCTTTTCATTATGCAATCCACAAAACTAAAATGTGAATAAAAATTTGCAACTTGCACTTTGTCTCAATGAAAATTTTCAAGATTTCAATCTATGAAGTTTAAGTTATTATTTCAAATATAAAATGTTCTTTTTGACCTATGGTCTGGACTAAAAAGTAGCAAGAAAAATAACAATAACAGAGGGGAATAACTCAAAATGATGAAGGGTAGAGTTATAATTCTTAAGTTTTGCATCTTTCTTAATGTGATCTATCTACCTACCAGTGAAGTTTCATGTTCTTATGTCAAATACTGTTCAAGTTTTTCAAGTTATCCTCATGCCAAAATATGAGATGGCAGAAGGATTGAATGACTAATGGAGACTATCGCCATATTCTCTGCTGTCTTTTTCAGAGTAGGATAAAATATCTATTCTAACAAGACCCGCATTTTTCCCTATTGAACATAGTAGAACCAAAAGTGTGTTATTATGCAATCAAAACACTGTTGACGTTCTACATTTAGACATGTGATGTTATCATTATACATGTGACGTAACCACTAAAAATGCTACACGCTGAAAGTAAGTACAGAAACAAATCAGGCGCAGTTAGCTTAAGATCAGGTATGGCAGCATTTATTTGTTGATGTTGTGTTAGAATCAAAATAATATATCCAAATCAATAATTTTATCGCTTGATAAAATCACTGTTTGTCATTCGGATGATCATCATTATATCACTTGGGCTACGCCCCAAGTGATATAATTCCTTGAATCCAAACTCCAAATATTGATTTTATTGAGTGATAAAATCACTTTTTGGGATATTTTATTTCTTAAATGGTGTTAGAATGAATGATATGAGTCATCCTTGTACTCTATGATGATAAATAGTTTGCTGAAAAACTAGAAGACTTAAACAAGATGACTATACTGTGATGCTTGTGATGCATGGAATAAAAACAGACATATGAACATTTTGTTCTTATTTATGTATGTGAGAGACTTTAACAATTATCACATTCAATACTATTAAGCAAAACTTCTGTCTTTCATTTTACACAAGGACTTTAGCATAACAAAACTGTTTTCATATATCCTACACTTAAAAATAGATAAATACAGAACCCCTAAAGAAAGCCCAACACGACAAAATTGAAAATGTTGCAGGCTCGGTTTGATTGAGCCTGTTCATGGACGGTACTGGAAAGTGCAATTACCGTCCACGCCCCCTAGCACCGGCTTAAGCAGAATTCAACATTTAAACATGAAATAGTGAAATTTTGAATTTAGAAACATCCGCAGATGTGTTCATACGGCGGTTATCATGGAACCTATAATGTGACACTACCGTGCCATTCCATGAAAAGCGGCGTATAGTCCCAAAGTAATAAAAAGCGTGTGCCAGTTTTAACAAAACATATTTTTGCCTTAAAATATATGCCTTGCTACCATAAAACATTTGTAACCTTTACATTCTGGTGATTTTAATAAAAGTTCATAACAGCCTCTTGTGGTGGTGAAAATGAATGAAAAGCTTTGTTTTAAAAGAAGGTATTATTTCAAAGTTAAACTGACCATAACTCTTATATCATCTATATATGAGTGACACTTAAAAAAGGATTGGAGCACCACACTAAATACCATATTCGGGTATATACCAGAAAAGGCACTTGAATGATTAAATGCTAAAATATCGCCTTTTCACCCAATGAAATGAACTTTAAAATGTCTAATTCCTCTCTTCACATCAATTTATATGCGATAATAAATGGAAAATGTAAGAATCAGCAAAAAAAAAATGTCTATTTTGTGATCATATTTCTGCAAGCGTCTAGAGGTACTGCTCCAACACTGTATCGAGTTCAGTAATCTATACTCCAACACTGTATCGAGTTCAGTAATCTATTTATACACACAGATTAGTTTTATCTTGAATGGTTATACAAAATTGTCTTACCACATGATGGTGTATTAAAATCCCATGCCCCATCACTACGGCATTGTAATGCTGACTGCTCGTCCATGCTAAACCCGGCACTGCATGTAATATTGGCAAATGTGGATTCACTATTACTCCATAGCTCCATAGAACCTCCTGTTACTGAACTTAATGTTTCACATAAGACTGAAAATAAAGAATGTTTGCTCCTGTTAATGAATGTAATAATTCACATTAATCATAAAAATATAGAATATGTAATTTATTTGCTCCTTTAACTAAATGTAATTTGATAAATGAATGTAATTTGATGAATGTAAAATACAGAAAATGTAAGATTTTTTACTCCTGTTAAAGAATGTTATGTTTCAACTGAAAATACAGAAAATGGAATTTTTTGCTCTTGTTACTGAATGTTATGTTTCACATAAGTCTGAAAATATAGAATATGTAATATTTTTGCTCCTGTTACTGAATGTAATGTTTCACATAAGACTGAAAATATAGAATATGTAATCTTTTTGCTCCTGTTACTGAATGTTATGTTTCACATAAGACTGAAAATATAGAATATGTAATATTTTTGCTCCTGTTACTGAATGTTATGTTTCACATAAGTCTGAAAATATAGAATATGTAATATTTTTGCTCCTGTTACTGAATGTTATGTTTCACAAAAGTCTGAAAATAAAGAATATGTAATGTTTTTGCTCCTGTAACTGAATGTAATGTTTAACATAATCTGAAAATAAAGAGTGTGTTATCTTTTTGCTTCTGTTACTGAATAAAATTGAAAATACAAAATATGTAATTTATTTGCTACTAAAAGTGTGAAACATGTAATCTTTAAGCTGTTGGATATTTTTAGAGTATTATAACAATTTTTTAGGACTGACTGATAGAAGATCACTGATGCACTTACATGCAATACAAAACTGCTTGAACCATTTTATAAAGAAATGAAAATCAGAATTACTTTTGTTAAGAAATTAAGACTATTTTATGATTTTTTTTAAACTTTGCAAATGTAAACAAGTATTAGATAAATTATGTATGGTATGTAAAAAGGTGTCATTGTTACAAACCTTACAAATTTTTTTATTTACCACTGTTCTGTTATTAAGTAATAAGATTTCCTCTCAAACTATATTGTATTATTGTCATGATTACTTAACAACAGGTTCATACATTCTTCAGTAATTGTCAACAAAATTATTGTGTAAGAATTATTATAATTTTTATTACCCTTCCAGATTTTTTCCGCCTTTTTGATTGGATATTGATCACCCGAAAGAAATTAATATAACCGAGCCAGACGGGTAATATACACATTAAATTTCCCCGTTGGGTACCCAACGTTGTAAACGACATGCGCTGAGGTGATGCGCGTACGGTTCGATTTTACGCGATGTAAATTCCGATTTACCAGCACTTTTTAACAGTCAAATGATAAATATTTACCAAAGTAGAGTAATGATACAAATTCTCATCAGTATTGAAAACAAATATGACCTTGTAAAAGCTTGATATTAATTACAAAAAAGTGCTTTCAATAGACTACTCCATTTCTCTTGTTTACATTCGTTAGGTACGGGAAAAATACGTCATGTATTTATGTGACATCATGTTGTGATGAAGAGGTACCCTAAATGGAATCTTATTTCGACGTTTCATTTGAAAAAAAAATTGTCTAAACTCGGCAGGGGAAGGGTAATAAAATTATTATTTTGGTTTCGGAGTGATATAATGTGGATATATTACCTGCCAAGATAAAATATCACCCTCGCCTACCGGCTCGGGTGATATAAAATCTTAGCAGGTAATATATCCACATATATCACTCCAAAACGAAAATAACATATAATGTTATGTGTAATGTTTGCCTAAAACCACTTTTTTCTATACTTTTGAAAAATATATTGTTGTAAATACAAATTAAGACACAAAGTAAAAGTGACATAAATTTAATAAATAATTCGAAATAGAAATAAAGAATATTCATCAAGGTATTTGGCAGATACCAGATGCCTGTATATAAGCTTTCACAGTACTCTGGCAGTCACATACTAAAATTGACTGAAAAAGAATAAATCTTCTAGAGATTAAATATTGTTTACTTTGTTATTTTTTGTTTTCTTTAAATTTGATATATTTTTTATATCTTACTTAGTTACAAACTTTGTAATTTTATTTCATTATAGTTTAAATAGTGAAATGTTACATTTTTACATATCAAGGGTTAAGTTACAAGTTTAGTAATTTTACATCATTAAGATTTATATTACTTTTACAAATTAAAGATTAACAATAAGATTTACAGAAAAATGTTTTCTTGTAAAATGTTTAATGTAAAAATTCACTTTTAATTATTCTTATGTATTTAAATATGTTTTTTTGTAAATACTTTTTTAAATTTAAAATTGTCAAATAAGAGTGTTCTTTATACTTATAGGATTTTCTATCAAGTTTATAATTTTATTTTACAATTAGTAAGTGAAATAAATTAGATATATTGTTGTTTAACAAAAAAAAAATTTGGTAATTTTCATGTGCCTTGTGAGTACTTTATATGTAATTATAATACCATTCCCCACTTTAAATAATTTGTAAGAATATTAATGAAGAAATAGAACTTCATCTCGTTTATTTTGAAAGTATCAATCGATATTGTTATCAAATTTAGTCTTTTAGATTTAGAAATATCTGAAACAAAGGAAATGTGTAAGTAAAATTATGAAATCCTTTATAATATAGATAGTTTCAGATACATAAACATTACTTGTATGAATTATTTTTGAATGATATTTTATGTTTTGTATTGTATTGGACACACATACTAAATTGACTGAAAAAGAATAAATCTATAAGAGATCAAATATTGTCTACTTATAAAGGGAAAAAATACAGGTACAAGCATCATGAATACAAATTTTACACCAATTGGATATTACGTAAAATTATAATTCAATATCCTTACGGTGTAAATATTTCATGACTTTTTCATGATAATTGTTTTTAATGTTTAGCCCTATCAGAATCAAAAATAACTATAAATTGTCACAAGTGCCTAATACCCCAACACTCGCTTGTCAGAAAACATGCATTTTAGTTAATAATTTTGCACACAGGGAAAATGCAGTAGTTTATAGTTTTTTTTTCAAATGATCCTACATTAATCAGATAAATTAAAGTTCGGATTTGAAGATTTCATGACTTCTTTTTAGGGCAACTTAATTGTTCTTTCTCCCTAAGATTTCTGTATTTCTACTCAGTGAGATCTATCTACATACATAGTTTCATGTTGATATCTTTCATAGTTCTCAAGTTATGACCTGGAAAAAGTTCAAAGTGTAGAAAATGGACACAGGGCAATAACTCAATAATAAGGGTAGGGAGGGTTACGGTTCTTTTACACTGCACTTCTACTCAGTGAGATCTATCTATCTTAAAAGTTTCAAGTTGATACCTTTTACAGCTCTCAAATTATGTCCAGGACAAATATTAAAGTAAAGCAATGAAAAAAGGGCAATAACTCCAAAAATAGGGAAGCTATGGTAGATGTTCTTCAGCACTGCACTTCTACTCAATGAAAATCATCTACATACAATGTTTAAAGTTGATACTTTTAACAATTATCAAGTTATGTTTCACAGTTCAAAGTGTAAAAATGAACAAAGGGCAAAGTGAAGAAGAAAGGCAACTCCAAAGGTAGGGCAAGGGTTCTTATGCACTGTACTTCTACTCAGTCTACAAAGTTTATACCTTATATATTTCTCAAGTTATGTCCAACAAAATTCAAAGTAAAAAAAATGAACAAAGGGTAATAACACCAAATTTGGGTTGAGATGGTTACGGTTCTTATTCACTGCACTTCTACTCAGTGAGATTATATATTTACATAGTTTTAAGTTGAGACCTTTTATACTTCTTTAATTACGTCACGGACAAGAAATCTACAACGTACCGACCGACCCACCACCAGCTGATTCCAGTTTACACCCCAAAAACTTTGTCAGGGATATAATTATCAATTAATGTTTGTCCAATATTCTCCAGTTTAAAATGAGATACACATGTAAAATGGTATAATTTCTCGAAATTGAGTTACTAGAAAAAGTGTTTGAGCACTATTTACCTGACAAGTTGCTTGAATGATTAAATGCCAAAATCTCGCCTTTTCAAATGCCGAGAATACAGCTTAATATTTATCTTCTTACACAGATTCATACACGATTATGAATGATTAAGAATGTAAGAATTGCCAAAAATGCGATAGTAATCTGATCTAAAAACTTCACCATTTGCTGGAGCAGTTGGAATGTTGCACACTGTATTAATTGAAACAAGAGGGACGTGATGGCCCTGATTCACTCATCAGAAACAATTGTTTTTCAGTATTAGAAATTATTTTTCAAACGAACTTGCCGAAATGCAAGTCCGGCTCTACTTTAACTTGTCCCTCTATTGATATACTTTCACAACACTGATTGGTTTTTTTCCCTTAATAATAAACAATAGGGCCAAGATGGCCTTAGATCACTTATCGAATCCATCATTTCATTGTTCACTATATAAACTGAAATATTTTGTCCTAATTTTTTGGAAAGTCTTTATTAAAAATGTTTATGATGCAAGTGTGTTCCTATTTTGATGGGACAATTTTTATATAACTTTTGTGAATGAATACTAAAAATGTCACATGCAAAATATGTAAGGTGTAGATGTTTAAAGTATACAGTTTGGGACAACAAACTTTTCATACATTCTATATGGAAACATAACTGTACCTAAAAAATAGATCTATCACTGAAAGTGATTAATACCCCCTCCAGTAACTTTGACTTTTTGAAAATAAAACAAAAATGAACTCAACTTATAGAAAACTATAAGTATCAACTGTGTACAAAGAATTATTTCATATAATTGCAATCCCAACCAGGGTCTTCATATAAGCTAGTTTAGTACACCAAATTGATTACAAAATCTCATTCCTAACTCTAGTTATTGTCCTGAAACCATTTTTGTATTTTCTGATCGCAAGATCAGTAAATACATAGCTAACATCCACGGTCTAACACAAAATTTCCTAACAGACCTAACAACGCAAAGTAGTTCTCACTCAAAACTGCTTAAAAACCAGCAATTTAAAAGACAGAATAATTTTTAATGTAGGCATTTAACGAATTACAGTGCATTGAAAGTTCAGATTAGTCAATAGAAATATGAGGTTACAATCACAAATTTCGCGGATGAATATCATTTTAATCAATGAAAATGCTATTTTTAGCTATGTCGATTACTGAATACTCCAGGGCGTAGTATACAAATAAATCTGACTGCCGAGTAGTGGAATATATACATGTCGGACTGTTTTGGCGAAAAGATTTTCTCTAAATTATTTTTATCATAGTTAAACAGGTTTATCGTGAACAAAATACCTCGAAATTGATAAGGATTACAAACACGAAATGGAAATTCTCAATTTGGAATTACAATGTATTTGTTTTTATTCAGGCTACATATTACGTATTACTTCACCGTGGTGCAGGGGTATCGCGCTCGTATCGCGCTCGTTTAGGGTGTGAGAGGCCTAAGGTTCAAATTCTAGTCGAGGCAACTTTTTATGAAGTGTCTTTTTTAAGGAAGTAGCCACGATATGCAAGGATAAAGTGTGGCTGTCATAAAAAATGATTTTTGATGCAACTCTAGTCATGCAAAATGCCATATGTATCAATCCCAAACTGTTATAGAAAAAAATCTTAACGCAGTCGCTGCGTAAGATGAATTATAGTATATAAAAATAAACCTATATAGGAAAATACATACAGATAGTCAGTACGATTTAGACTGTAAAGATCAGAAAATACCACAGAACTTGCAGCCCTTTGATTATATCTTAAGTTGTGGTTAACTTGGCATTGACCCAAGGGGATCTTAATGCAATACCAGCCGGGGTCTTCATATAAGCTTGTTATACACCAAGTTTGATTACAATATCTCATTCCCAAGTCTAGTTATTGTCCTAAAACCATTTTTATATCTTAAGTTACGGTGACCTTGGCCTTGACTCCAGGGAGGTCTTAATGCAATACCAGCCTGGGTCATCATATAAGCTTGCTATACACCAAGTTTAATTACAATATCTGAGTCCTAACTCAAGTTATTGTCCTGAAACCATTTTTCTTTTTTAGTAACGGTGACCTTGACCCCCAATGGTCCAAATCCAATACCAGCCGAGGGTCTTCATAGAAGTTTGCTATACACCAAATTTGATTACAATATCTCATTCCTAACTCTAGTTGTTGTCCGGAAACCATTTTTCTATTTTAGTAACTGTGACCTTGACCTCGGGGGTCCAAATGTAATACCAACTGGGCATTTCATATGAGCTTGCAATACACCAAGTTTGATTACAAAATCTCTTTCCTAACTCTAGTTACTGTCCAAAACTATTTTTCTATTTTTAGTACTGGTGACCTTTACCTTGACCCAAGGAAGTCTAAATGCAATACCAGCTGAGGTCTTCATATATGTTAGGACAATAATAAGAGTTAGAAATGAGATATTGTAATCAAACTTGGTGTATAGCAAGCATATATGAAGACCTCGGCTGGTTGTTTATATGTCTAATGTTTTTTTCTTTCTATTTTTAGCTCTAGAGACTCCTAAAAAGGGCCAATCAAAATAATATGAAAAAATTGATAAAACACTACCTAAGAATGCTACAGACAAAGTTTGGTGATCATCAATCAATTAGTTCTGTAGAAATAGATGTCTAAAGGTTTTTTTCTATTTTTAGCTCTAGAGACCCCTAAAACGGGCCAATCAAATTATTATGAGCAAATTTGATAAAAGACTAGTTAAGAATGCTACAAAGTTTGGTGATCATCCATCATTTACTTCAGTACAAGATAATGTCTTAAGGTTTTTTTCTATTTTACCTCTGGAGGCCCCTAAAATGGATTTGCAAATTTGGTAAAAGACTACAAAAGAATGCTACAGACAAAGTTTGGTGATCATCTATTAATTAGTTCTGTAGAATAAGATATCTAAAGGTTTTTCTATTTCTAGCTCTAGAGACCCCTTAAATGGGCAGATAAAATTAATGAGCAAATTTGAGAAAAGACTATCTTAGAATGCTACTGAAAACGTTTGGTGATCATCAATCAATTAGTTCTGTAAAAATAGATGTCTTAAAGGTTTTTTCTCTCTTTTCAGCACTAGAGACCCCTAAAAGGGGCCAATCAAATTAATATGAGCAAATTTGATTACAGACTACATAAGAATGCTACAGACAAAGTTTGGTGATCATGAATCAATTAGTTCTGTAGAAGAAGATGTCTACAGCACTATTAAGTGTTGAGAATTGAGTACTGCTCAAGTCGGTGCTTGGGGACGTGAGAGATGTTGCACTTATTCATTATACCTCATGTATAGAATCAATTAAACCGAGTCTGCAATTGTCATGTAATTTTGTTGTAATTTATGCTTTCGAGGGATCATTTTGTTTCCAGATTTTTTATACTTTACAACAGCAGGTGTCAAGTGCTGCGTGGCAGCTGTAAAAAGTTGCCCATACTTCACTTCGGTGATGTTATATTTTTTTGGTCTTTCGGGATCATTGATGCCAGCACTATTAAGTGTTGAGAAATGAGTAGCGCTCAAGCCGGTGCTAGGGGTTGTGAGGGATGTTGCACTTATTCATTTTCCCTCATGTACAGACTCAATCAAACCGATTCTGCAATTTTCATGTAATTTTGATGTGATAAATGCTTCCGAGGGATCACTTTGTTTCCAGATTTTTTTCTATTTCAGCTCTCTTGACCCCTAAAATGGGCCAATTGCAATGATATGAGCAAATTTATGTGTGACTGTCACAAGGATGCTTCAGACCAATTTTGAAGTGAATCTGTCCAACTGTTTCAGAGGAGAAGATTAATGTTGACGAATGACAACAGATGCCTGAGCATTCCCTTTTTATACTAATAGCCCACCCTGAACCTTCGGAACTAATGAGCTAATTAAGGACAAAGGGAAATCAATGATCCCCCTGGGTCAGGGCCAATTTTGACCCCGGGGCTTTTATTTGGGCAAACTTGGTACACTTACTAGATGATTCATGCTCTAGCTATTTGAGTTTTTTTAAAAGAGATTTTTTACGTTCTTCTTATATACATATAAGGGAAATCAATGACCCCCTGGGTAGGGCCAATTTTGACCCTAGGGCTTTTATTTGAAAAAACTTGGTAGACACTCACTAGAAGATGTTTCATGCCGGATATCTAATGTCTAGCTCTTCGTGTTTATTTTTAAAGAATTCTTTTTAAGTTTTTTTTTCTTTTGGCTGCCATGGCAACCAGAGTTCTGCATGGAATAAAAATCTTTAAAATATTTTTAAAGGTGACCACCAAAGGAACATTCCTGTGAAGGTTGGATGAAATTAGCTTAGTGGTTTATGAGGAAATGTCATTTAAAGTAAAAGTTTACGGCTGGAAGCGGGACAAAAAGCGATCACAAAAGCTCACCAGGTCACTTTGTGACAGGTGAGCTAATAACACTTGTCTTACAACTTCACCTTGTTGAAATAACCAAATCATTCCAGTCTCATGATAAAACCAGATTAAGTCTTTTAATTGAATGGGATAAATTTTCTCTAAGTTTAGCAGACAACAACTAATCCACATTAATATCTACACTTTTTCTTAAAAAGAAGACGTCTTAAAAACGCAAAAATAAAACAAACATATTAATAAAACTAATATTTCACTATAGATGGCACAGGATTGCCAAATTAATACCCCCACATGAAACAGGGTATTAAGTAGTGCAATTCATCATTTCGTTTAAAAGTTAATATTTTAGGGCAGAAACAAAATGTTCAAATCATGACCTTCAAGGGTGACGTTAAGCCTGCATTATTGCAACCAGAGTGTTTGAACATTGCCTTGCTGAGTTGAACTTACGCGCAAAGATTGAATAATCTTTCCGGTCTTATAGGATTTATAACAAGAGCTGTCACAGGAGACAGCGAAGCTCGACTAATAAAATACTGGACGCAGTAAGGAGGACAAAACTATGAAAGAAAAATCAATTATGTATAATTATGTATTAAGTTATAGTAAAAAAATAATATTTGTTAACATAAACTCCAAGATCAAGGGGAATAATTCTAGAAATAGTCATGCTAGAGTTATGGACCTTGTCACACAACATTTGTGTAATGATAAGAAATATATATTTGAAGTTTGAAGTAGATACCTTAAAAAGTAAAGAAGTTATTATATTTCTTAAAGAAAATCCTAAGTTCAAAGAGAGATTAATCTGTAAATATTGCATCAAGAGTTATGAACAATGTCACATAAAATGTAATTGTTGATAAGGAATAAGTATTTGAAATTTGAGGTAGATACCTTTAAAAATAAAAAAGTTATAATAAAAAATAACATTTTTCTAGTAAAAAAATCTAAGTTTATGGGGAGATAATTCTTGCAATATTGGTGCTAGAGTTATGAACCTTGTCACATAAGATGTGGATGATGATAACGTAAACATATTTGAAGTATGAAGTTGATCCCTTTAGAAATAAATAAATAACAGTAAAAAAAATATTTTTTATGGAAAATTCTAAGTTCAAAGGGAGATAAATCTGAAAATATTGGTGCTAGAGTTATGAACCTTGTCACATAAGATGGGGATGATGATAACGTAAATACATTTGAAGTATGAGGTTGATCCCTTACGAAATAAAGAAGACACCATAAGAAATAGTACATTTTGAGGAAAATTCTAAGTTCAAGGGGAGATAAATCTGAAACTATTGGTGCTAGAGTTATGAACCTTGTCACATAAGATGGGGATGATAATAAGGTACATATATTTGAAGTATGAGGTTGATCCCTTAAGAAATAAGGAAGTAACAGTAAAAAATAGTATTTTTTAAGGAAAATTCTAAGTTCAAGGGGAGATAAATCTGAAAATAGAGTTATGAACCTTGTCACATATGATGTGGTTGATGATAAGGAACATATATTTGAAGTTTGAAGTTGATACCTTAATAAATGACAAAGTTATAATAGTGAAAAATATTTTACTGCACCAAAACTTTAATCTAAAATCTGGACGCGGACGCGGACGCCGACGCCGACGCCGGGGCGAGTAGGACAGCTCTCCATATACTTCGTATAGTCGAGCTAAAAAGGACATGATGAGACGCATGGACCGAACAACTGATTGACCGACATGACAATTTCATTCCAGTATCCCCTCTTCCCTATTATGTTTTGGGGAAGTAATAATTAAACAAACATAACTTTGTATATATAAGACTTTAATGTTTACAATTATCAAAAAAATTAAATCAAATTACACGTACATGCAATACTATTACTAAAATAATTTATTCACTGATGCTCTTAAAAGATGAAAAAAAATCAGTAAAACATTGAAAATTTTTTATCTTTCTATTTTTTCGTCAAACTCCTTGCGAGGATGTTGACAGACAACTAGAATAGTTTATCTCTTAAACACACAGATGTACACTTAACATAATGACAAGCATAATTAACCCATCAAACTTCAATGTCAGAAATTTCATTATCTTGTTCATAACCTGCTAGCTTCTGATACTGCGGGGAAGATATTCCTGGTGTTGGAGAACTTGTATCCTTCCTGCTATATATTTTCAACAAGTTTTTATCTTTATCAATGAGGTCACCTTTTGGTTTCTTTTCACGCTTTCTTCTCGGTTTATCATCTGCACTATTTTTTACCTGTTTAAGCTCTCTAGCAATATCATCAGCATTTCTTGGTGTAAGAATCTGCTGAGGTAATGGACTACCTTCACGATATACAGGTGTCTCCTTAATTGGCATGAATGGTGACAATTTTCCGGATTTCGGTTCTGTATCCTGATTCCTTGCTTTCTTTGCTACTCTTTTTGGTTTTGAGTCTTCGATCTGGATTTTTGGTATATCTAAAACATTTGATGCTGGCGATGATGTGTCTCTTGGAGAACCGATCTGATCTGGTAGAAATGATCCTAGACTGATTGATCGTAATGATGAAGGAGTGGCAGACGTTGATGAGTACATGGTAGGAGACCGACGACCAATCATCATAGGTGGTCTTTGAAGTTCAATATTTCTGGTGGTAAGTGGGGCTGGGGAATTAGAGTTCATCTTACCCAGTGTATCAGTCTCATGTTTTAGATGGGCAAGTGGTGCCAATGATGAGTCAGCACGTCCCATATCTGTCACATGGCGCTGATGGCCTAAAGGTGCTCTTGATGGAGTAATTTTGTCTTGGTCAATCTCATCAAATAATGAACTTGGTTTCACATCTGAATAAAACCAACAGCACATGTACATTGTATAATAATTGCCAGCAACATTTCTCCATGAATTCCTATATCTGTTAAATGTATATACAAATGTACCAACAAATTAGTTCACCCTTGGTAACAGTAACATAGTTTTTTCAAAATGTACAAAAATGTATTCAATATTGCATTTATACATACAAATATTCAAGGCAAAACCAATTAATGACTTTATAACTTAAACTTAATTTTCCTTCTGAATCTATCCAATTCCCCGGCTGGATTTGAACATGAACAAATCCAAAAGTACATTAAAGGAGTTCTGTATACTTTTATTATAACAGAGAGTTCCTAATTAAAGGGTTAAGAAAAATTACAGTTACCTTGTATATATGTGCTAGCTTTTGCTCCACCAACTGACTTGTATTTCTTCCACAATCTCCATGCAATAGCAGCAAGAATTATAGCCACTATTGTGGCAATACTAAACAGAACACCAAAGGCTATAGCAACACCAGAGCTTGTACCATCATTGCTACCCTGCTGACCGGCCTCGACCGATGTTTTTACTGCAAATAATAAAACAAACTAAGTATAAATAGCAACTTCTCATTAAATACTGATATTTTAAAGGCACATAATGCCTCAGAAATGCTGTATTTTTATTTTTGAAAAGTTTTTTTTAAATTTTGTTGTACTTTTATAGTATCCCAAAAGTTATTCACTGGAAATTTACCACAACCATCTTTTTCATCTGTTGCTTTTTTGCAATAGGTATAGTTATAGTGAATTAAAGTTATTTAACTTATTTTCAATGTAAAGCAAAGCACCTGTCAATTTTACAAACAATTACTAAACCTTTGGCACCGAGTGCACATTCAGATAAAACATTCTATGTTTAATCTGCTCCTACACTGCAAGTCTGGGCAAAAAATTTACATGCTATTGTGGCTTCCAAAACAAAACTACCATTAACTTGAAACCGAGGGGACTTATTTTAAGAAATTGGCTCATTTTATCTTCACTCCCTAGTGTGTGTAGCTGGACTGGTGCATTAAGGGTCCAGTCCTTTAATCCTATATCAAAACATATTTGTTTTGTTTTTGGTTGGGTTTTCTACGTCACATCAACACAGTGTAGGTCATATGGTTGCTTTGCAGCTTTCCTGGTTGAGGTTTTATTTCAGGCAAAAACATGCACCTGAGTAGAACCACAGACTTTTTGGTCCAGTCATATCATATCCAGTTGAACACACAAATGTTGCTGAGGTCAATTTACCGTTTGAATTTAAACTATATGACAGAGCCGTTGTAGCATTCAATGGTTCACATATAACTGAAAGCAAAAACATGAGTTATTAATTTATACTAGTGTTAAGTGAACTTTTAATGGTGTTTCATTGTAAATTTCTATGTACCTAGTTTAAAGTAGGGGGGAAGATGAAATAACGAAAATCTAAATCTTCCATCTTTAATTTCAAATATATTAATTTTGACTTTCAAGTGAATTTCATACATGCATGCACAGTTTTGACAGTGTGCTATGTGTGTGAAGCATGTTTTTTTAAGAAAATATACACACGCCAAGCATATAATTCACCATAAGTATATCAACAAGATCAAAGGGGCGTTTATTCTAAAACATTTGCTATAATATCTAAAATGTGAATTATGATGGTATCTTAATATAAAATTGTTTTGCTTACCACAAAATGGCACTGCTGTGTTCCAACTGCCATTACTAAGACATGTGACATTATTCAAATGTGACAAACTATATCCCGTTTCACACATGAATACTGCAGAAGTTGTCTTCCCATCCCGAAGTAATGATATGTTCATTCCATCACCAGCATTAAGATTTGAACATTTATCTGAATAAAGGCATACACAATAGTAACAAAAAAAATCATTCGTAAACAAATATATCATTAACCTTTAACAAATATATCGAAGGATATGTATAAAAGTGTGTTGATAAACTTTACAAAAATTTGTAAGCGACTTAATATAAGCCATATAGCCTCATATTAATATTGTGCCACTGGGTTCAATGTATATACAACGTTGAAGCTAAAATCAGCTCTGATCACAACTGTTTTAACATATCAGTTCCTCAAAAAGACCTGAAGGCTATGGAAGTTGCTACATACAGTGATTTTTGCACAAATATCCACCATTTTATAAATGGCAGTTCAACAAGAGCTGTCCAGGTCAGCATACCCGACCATTCCCAGACCTATATGGTGAAAGAAGAGCAATTAACAAGCAACACAAGTATTAGTTCAAAAAGGGCCACAATTCTGTCAAAATACATCTCAGAGTTACGGACATTGAACAGTGATTAGACTCAAACATACAATATTTCTGCCGAAGGGACCAGAAATCTTGTTCGAGAAATCAGTTTGAGTGACACTGAGGTAAAACAACATCAAATTATATAGGAATTTTGCTGGTTCGAATAAGTGAAAAATGCGAGCAATCATTGTTCAAGCAATCAGTTATTGAGTTATACAGTAGTTCTGAGAAAGTTTAACTGGTATCTCTTGAAAAAAGTACAAATTAAGAGTATACAGTCAAACTTGTCTTAAAGATACCTCTAGATGAAGGCCACTTTTAGGCACCATTTATTTTAGTTGAAGCAGAACAAAGTAACCTCGAAATGAGGACTCCTTGTCTGTAAAGACAAATTGTTTTGTCTCTCAATACACGCCCGGCAAACTGTCGCTCCACTTCAAAATTGTGGTGTACGGTAAAACGAGCGAACGGCATTTCCGAGATAGAGCGGAAGGCCGATTTTAACGCCTAATTGTAAGTATTGTTTATGTTTTTGTCTTGTTATTTATTTAAGTTGTATTTTTTAGAAAAACGGAAAATGTAGTTCCGTGTAGGATTGATTTAGGCTTCCAATGATCTAACCTGTTACAAAAAGAAAATTATATTAAGCCTGGGAGAACTTTTCTCCCTGGCGAAGCGAACGATGATTTGTAGAATATTGAACTTCCCAACCATAGAAATGCCATACCTTTCGGATTTCTTGAAAAAGTGTATTAGTAAATTATCAACCCGTAATAAGAACTTGTCCTTCGTGCAAAATAAATTACTCTTGAAAGATTTCTTAAATTTGTAAATCGATATTTTTCGAAAGAAGTGGAGCGAAAGGGCAAGAGATGGAGCAAAAGGTTCGATGTTGAGCGCAAGGCGATATTAATTTGACGTATTAGGAGGAGCGTAGTCGATGATTTTTATAAATAAAAGCTATAGAAGTTAAAATAGACATGATCAAGTGTTAAGACCGAGATATATATACCTTTTAAAGAGAACTAATTTATTGTGATGTCCTTTCAACGACTATAGCGTAATAACTGTAATCTCGAAGGTGTCACCTATGGCTGCCGTGTAGATTCCATTATTTATGTTCGAAATTTGGATAAGGCCCGACCATTGAATCATACACATTAATGCATGGCATAATACAGGATGCCACTTATTCGAGGTCAATCATGATTTTTGACACGGTTATGTACATTTAAAAACGTGTGTCCGTGCAAATGCGACAAAATCGAATATTTTTAGTTCTACCGCGAACAAATATTTCGGAGCAGGTACGTGTAACTCGATTGTTCACGCCAAAATGTTATGTTTTTCGAAAATTTAGAAATTCAAGGTGATGAACAGAAACAAAATTATGCAATGCACGGAACAGATTAAATTAAATGGATCACTACTACCGAGTTCAGTTCACAGTGACTTTCTGTAATTAATAGCTCTAACGTACATGTTCTGAGCAAAACACAAATAAGTCACGTTTTCATGAATTTGAAAGGCGGGGAATCGCTATGAAAATGGTTGAAAAGGTGTCAGTCGTTATAAGGATATAACACGTGTTCCAGTTATGTTTCAAGATACTTCCTCCCTTATTTAGCATTGTTGTTTAGTTTATTATTTTCCTCTCAAAGTGAGGCAGAACCCAGTCGGTGTACGGACTAAAATTATCAATAATATAATAGACCTAGCTATAGTAGAAATTTCAATTTACACTTACAGACGAAAATAATAAACTAAACAACAATGCTAAATAAGGGAGGGAGTATCTTAAAAAATAACTGGAACATGTGTTATATCCTTATAAAGACTGACACCTTGTCAACCATTTTCATAGCGATTCCCCACCTTACAAATTCATGAAAACGTGGCTTTTTTGTGTTTTTGCTCAGAACAGGTACGTTAGAGCTATTAATTACAGAAAGTCACTGTGAACTGAACTCGGTAGTAGTGATCCATTTAATTTAATGTGTTCCGTGCATTGCATAATTTTGTTTCTGTTCTGCACCTTGAATATCTAACTTTTTGAAAAACATAACATTTTGGCGTGAACAATCGAGTTACACGTACCTGGTCGGAAACATTTGTTCGCGGTAGAACTAAAAATATTCGATTTTGTCGCATTTGCACGGGCACACGTTTTTAAATGTACATAACCGTGTCAAAAATCATGATTGACCTCGAATAAGTGGCATCCTGTAGTATGCCATGCATACATGTGTATGATTCAATGGTCGGGCCTCATCCAAAATTCGAACATAAATAATGGAATCTACACGGAAGCCATAGGTGACACCTTCGAGATTACATTTATTACGCTATAGTCGTTGAAAGGATATCACACTTTATTTGTTGTCTTCAAAATGTATATATATCTCGGTCTTAACACTTGATCACGTCTATTTTAACTTCTATAGCTTTTATATGTAAAAAGTCATAGACTACGCTCCTCCTAATACGTCAAATTAATATCGCCTTGCGCTCAACATCGAACCTTTTGCTCCATCTCTTGCCCTTTCGCTCCACTACTTTCGAAAAATATCGGTTTATAAATTTAAGAAATCTTTCAGGAGTAATTTATTTTGCACGAAGGACAAGTTCTTATTACGGGTTGATAATTTACTAATACACTTTTTCAAGAAATCCGAAAGGTATGGCATTTCTATGGTTGAGAAGTTCAATATTCTACAAATCATCGTTCGCTTCGTCAGGGAGAAAAGTTGTCCCGGGCCTAATATAATTTTCTTTTTGTAACAGGTTAGATCATTGGAAGCCTAAATCAATCCTACACGGATTCACATTTTCCGTTTTTCGAAAAAATACAACTAAAATGAATAACAAGACAAAAACATAAACAATACTTGCAATTAGGCGTTTAAATCGGCCTTCCGCTCTATCTCGGAAATGCCGTTCGCTCGTTTTACCGTACACCACAATTTTGAAGTGGAGCGACAGTTTGCCGGGCGTGATTTTGAGCAGGTTAAAAGTGAAAGCCTTGGAAAAAATCCGTGAAAATGTCTGTTTTCTGTTCAAAATATCTCAAGTTTTAAGTAAATGGCAGGATTTCCTATTATCAATATAGACGTTCATCTATTGGGGTCACGCAAGCCAAATATCTACCCCGTGAGTCTTTTCTTGAAAGTTTTACAGACGCTCAATCTTGTCCGGTCGAAGAAAAAATGCTGCCGTTGTAGGCAGATACATATTATAAATGCTGCCGTCGATGGCAGAAATACCACGAAAGTGGCTAACATTCTGACAGAAAATCAAGTTCAATCTTTTATCAATTCTTCTTTTCTTTGCGTCCTTTTAGTCGGAATTGAGACGTTAAACTATCATTTCTAATATTTTCTCAGGATAGAAAAGTTATTAATGCGGTGTGTGCATCGAAAAATGCTTTTTAGCAACATGCAGTTATAATACAAAAAGTGATGATTTAGTACGACAAAATTTCACTATAAATAGAGAAATGAACATGAAAAACTTCATTTTTCTATATTCATGCATGTGTGCTTGATTTGTTCATATGAATTGAAAGGTCAAAAAGGAGAAAAAGAATATAACAAATAAAAAAATTCTAGTTTTTTTCCTATAAATACAGGATTTATTTTCATCTTGTGATATGAATCATCGAAAGGTTCATCTTTATAAGTTGTTATGGTTACAACTAAAATGAATGAAAAAATATATAGTTAAATGGGAGCACGTGATGTTAGAACTGTTGTTAATAGTTTAGCATAGTAAATGTAATTCAAAGGCAAACTACAACGCTATTACAAACATGAAAATTTAAAGAAATGAATCCACGTTGTCGTGTTTTTCAAGATCTTGATAATATAGGAAAATAGTTGAACTGTCAATAATATTATCTTTCCATTTTACATTAACATACATTGTTTTATGATACACTGATGTCAGTTGCGAGGTTAATAGTCTCCCCTTTATTACATCAATTTAATAATTTATAATCTGCGCCGATTAAGTAAATTTCAGCCTTTATTTGTCATAAAGCGATGAACATTATTACCTCGAGAAAATAATGTCATATGCTAGCAAATGAATATCCACTTACAGAAGTTACTTGCTGTAATATGCAATTGGCGTTATGTCTTAAAAAGGGAGTGCGCTGCTAAACTTAAGATACATATATTATTGTATGCATGTAACTGACAGACACAACAGATCAAGCACACATGCATGAATATAGAAAAATGAAGTTTTTTCATGTTCATTTCTCTATTTATAGTGAAATTTTGTGGTACTAAATCATAACTTTTTGTATTGTAACTGCATGTTGCTAATTAGCTTTTTTTCCATGCACATACCGCATTAATGAAAAAAAATCAAAAAATCTACAAAACAGCAATTTTTCTTTAAAATCATATGTGAGGCCATGTTTTAACATGGAAAAACGCGTTTTTGGGTAATTTCGTTTTTTTATCATTTTCTGTTAACCCATTACCAGATATATACGCCTTTCGACGCCTTTTTCACCCCCACTCCTTTTTTGCTTTCTCAAATGGTAAAAAATGCCTTATTTAGGCCCCCA